CCCACCCCTCCCTGTACCTTCCCCTATCCTTATTTCCCCTTCTCCCCGCCTCTCCCACCCCCTCTTCCCCATCCATTCCCACTGCGTCCTACTTCCCCTGTCCCCCTCTCAACCCTTCTCCTGTTTCTCCCTCCCCTCCCCCTCCCTCCCCTTCTCCTTTCCCCCTGTCCCCAGTCATGCTCCCCCACCACATGTTTGCCCATAAATCGGCAACTCGTGCCGCTGCGGGGGTCGGCCGAGGTGCAGCCGGTCTGGCCGAGCCAAGCCGAGCCGAACCGATGCCAAGCCGAGCTTCAGTAATTGCCGTTTCGCTGCTTAGTGGCTGTTTGAGGCTGAGTACGGGCATTCAGACATGCTCTTCATTGGTTGTAGACTTGGCCTTTGATTTCTTTGCACTTTTACGGCTAAAAATGACTGTATATAAGGAGGGGAAAGCAGGGCAAGAAGAGACGAAGAGTCCATCATAATAATACAACCTAGTTTGCGAAGCACCAGATTCGCCGATGTGAACATGCGTTTTTGAGCTAAACTTAGAGCAGTCAGGCCATTAACTCAGTTATTGCTTTATGTTTAACTTGTGTACTCATTACCGTAAGTTCGCATGAAAAAAAAAATTATTTCCAGCGGTCGAGAAATAACCCATTTGTTTTGGTTTCCAAGTTAGCAGTTTTTCAGTCAAAAATTTCACATGAACATACGTGAAGACCAAGCGTGCTTAGGAACTGATTTAGAATCTATAGGTTGCATGTGAATAGAGAACATACGCGAAATAGCCAGGAAGACGCAAAGGCACACATACACACATACCATGTGCTGTCACAATATGCGTTTTTGCATTTTGATAATATGCGAAAACATAAAAATTTGAAGCCCTCTTCCGGACTGTGTATTCTCACTTTTAACATCGTGCTGATAAAGTGATGAAATTAACCTCATGGATAACTTCACGGATACCTCATGGATACAAATAAATAGAATTCGTTCTCGTCTACAAACACAAATGAAGTGTGAAAAGTACAAAAAATGCAAGCCTAGTTCTCACTCATCTGGCATTATAGCTCGAGATTTCTTGAAATCAGAACTACATTGTTATGATTTTAAGTCACAATAAATTTAAAGACAGTGCTTCCAAATCCAGCTTCTAACTTAATTTGTGTTAGAGCTGAAAAACCCACATAAACCCTCCCCTCCTTTCCTCCTGCACTCCTCCTTCTCCGCTCCTCTTCTCCCCTCAGATAAACAAACAAAAACACACACATACGGTCACATCACTGTGAATAGGCGTTTTTGCTAAAACAATATAACACAGTAATTACTAAATAGTCAAAAGTCATAATACCGTGTCACCGTTGTACAGCTCATTCAATTTATCATCAATCCAATCTTCCACGCCCATTCGTTTCTTTATTAGCATCATTTGATGCTTCCCATATTTCATCGTCAACACACGTCCCCGTTCGTTTGTCTGCAAAAGCAGCGTTTTTAGTTTCGGCTAGAGAGGAGCTGGAAAAAGAGCGTTGGGTGAGAATCAGTTTTTTGTGACAAAAAGCTTTACGCCAATTTGGTTTTTTTGCTAGGTTTTTTTTTTGTTTTTTGTTTTTGCTATGAATCGTTAGTGCTCGTCTTCGCTCGTTCTTGCCGCTTTCCTCCGCTGTTGAAGCCAGGCAGCTTTTAAAACTAGTAAACCCTGTGGGTTTAACTGGTTCATGAGATATCGTTGCCATTACAAAGGAACGCTCTTGATATCATTTGGAAAATAATTGCTAGCGTGCCGACTGCCGGTGCGAAGGTGCGTTTTTTGCACAATTTCCCATGGGTTGCTAATGCATTGTTTTTTCCGGCAAATGCTTCTAGCTAAAAGAATTGAGACTCGCTGCCATGATTATCAGAAATTATAGCATCGACTTCCAATCCGTGCTCAAAAAATTCAACACTCTAGGTGTTTCGGTTGCGGAGTTACGTCAAATTTCAAGTGTTTGCACGTGAAGGGGAAACGTGAGAGTTGTTTTTACGCATGGCCGCTCAAACAGGGCTCTGGGCCATATGCGGAAATGTCAGTGTTCTAGCTGTTTTGATTTCGGGGCTACGCCAAATTTCACGTGTTCGCACGTAAGGCATGAAAGGAACGTGAAAGTTGCTTTCACGTCCACTTGGCCAAACGCTGCCGTTGGCCGAACTCAGAAAATTTTAGCCTTTTAATTACTTCAGTCCGAAATTACAAAACTGCCTTCTTTAAATTTCACGTGCCCCACAGACGTGCAAAAAGACTGGAAAACTCAATTTACTTTCACAGGCACATTAGTGGGCGACAACCAACGCTGCAAAATTACAGCCCTCTACAACTTCATGGTCAGCTCTAATTCAGATTTAGCATGATACCATTTTGAACTTTGACGCGTATGTGTGGGTGCGTGAAGGCTGAATTTAAAATCTTTGGGTTGAATGTGGCCAAAAAACATCTTCATGAAGTTTCAGCCTTCCAGCTTCCGCTGTTTCCGAAATCGTTTTCTCGCCAAAAAAAAGAAACTTTTACGTATGCATACATGAGAAGCATGTGAAAGTGAACGCCCATTTTAAGGATACTGGCTCGTACGTAGGTGCAGATTAAGTTGCCAAAGTTTCGGCTTTGTAGCTTTTGTAGGTCTCGAGATGAAAACTCAATACAGACGCACACACAGACAAGATGCACAGACACACACGAATACACACAGACAACCGCTCGGTAATATGCGTTTTTGCACTGCATAGATGCAAATAACGCATAAAAAATGATGGCTCCAGCAAGTCCGTTGCTAATCATTGGAAGTAAAATTGCCGCAGCACTTGATTATTTTTCTTGTTTTTTGCCGAAGACTGCGATGCTGATAAAAAACACAATCACCAAAAATTGCATCTACACGATTAATAAACACATTTCAGAACAAATGGTTTTTAGCGACAAATTCCATTGGTCTTTTTTGTTGTTACACTGCAACAATCGTTCTTTAACATAGCTTTCTCAGAATGATGTTTGTTAATTAAAGAAATAAATTCGAACTCGTGCAGCTCGAAATCATTGCAGCTGATGACTAGTAACAAATGATTTAAGGAAAAACTGATAAATCACTTTGTTACCTGAATTAACGACGCAGAAAGTGTGCTTTCAACGATTTTAGAGCTGTTAGGATATCGCTGCAGAAATTACAGTGCTGAACTAAGAAGCGACCAGGATGCCCAGTGCAGCTGTGTTAGGCCTCCCTGTCCCGAATTGTCTTCCTCCAGTTGTTACTCGCTGCACTCATCACAAATACAGCTCTTGTACCTGTATGGTTAAGCGTCCTCTCGCATATATCCTCCATTGATAAGCTGTCCAGTCAACACCGTTATTCACACTCACTGTCAGGTATCAAGAACATAAAAAGGCAAAAGCCTACATCTACTACCAGAAAAGTTATAATTCTCAAGCAGCTCGCTTTCCAGTAGTGCTCCTCCCTTCTCCATGTTGTGCGCATGTAGTCGGCCAAGACAGTTTCAGATTGCCCAGTACTAAGCCATCTCTCGGTGATTAAAACAAAGATAAATGAAGTAGGAATCGTTTTCCAGTTGCATTCCTCTCGAAGTGATTGCGAAAAAATCACCAGTTATGAACGGATATCCTGGCAACAGTGTGATTAGAAAACAAGACGGCGCGTAATTCATCAAAAACCAACAAAAAAGTCAAGTAGTAAACAAATGATAGGATTGAATACTATTCAAATACTAAGGCCGAGCAATGATGGCAGTGGAAAGGGTAGTATCGAGAGGGTAAAGAAGGGACAACAGTCAATTGACAGAGAAGAGACTGGATTTGGAAACTACTTCTCTTCGAACATGAAACAACAGGTGAACTCGCCCTTAGTCCATCACATATAAAAAGACTGTAAGGAATTCGTAGTAGCTATTTCCGCATGCTGATATTGATGAGGGAGAGCATGCACCTTTCGAACTTTTTTGTCGTTGAAACGGGCGTGTTTAGCAGAAACGTCTTCCGTCATTGTGACCTTTCCACTGACTACTTCCAGATATGCTTATACAGGTTTAGAATCCCAAAATGGAGGCCGGCTAAGAGTTGGAACAGCTTTTCGGTAACTGCAAATGATAACGTCCGAGCGAAGCCAATATGAAAAATCACCTGCAAACAGATTTCTCTTAACGCTTTCACGCTTTCTTCTGGTAAAGCGCAGCAACAGTACAGAGTATACGACCTGATGAGTACACTTGTTTCCCTACTGTCATTATGTCGTTAAAAAAAGATCAGCTGACATTCATTCATCAGCCGTAAATTTTTATTCGTATATTACGTATGGTATGTGCACATACGCGTTTGGTTTGATTAAGCGTTTTTGCTGTACAACCTTATAGCGCTGCTACAGTGAGCAAGAACGTACGTAGTCGAGAGGCATGCGGTGTATGTGTGTGTGTGTGTGTGTGTGCTCGTGTGTGTATATGTGAGCGGGAGGAGAGTAGTTAAATTTGACACTCAGTTTCGACTCAGCAACCAGAAAAGCTGGGAAGCTGAAATTTTGTAAGCGTGCGTTCCCAGCATACATGTCATCCTTACAACCTGAAGTCATCGTTCAGGTACGCCTAGACCTCAAGTACAAACGCCGAAAAGAAACTTGCAGATTTTATGGCAGAGAAACGATTTGGAAAATCAGATAAGCTGGAAAGCTTCTCTGGCCATTTATGAGATAAAAATTTCAAATTCATGAAGTCGCGTGCACCTACACCGTGTATACAGTAAAGTTAAAGTTGCCAATTCGAAAACTAGCCGGCAAATGGTAGCTGAAAATTTGTCAGAATATTTATCGCCCATCTGGGAAATCATATACCTAAAACGAGTTACGATTTGCCTTTGCAACTGCACCACAACTTAGGGCACTTTAAAGATATTTGTAGGGAAATGATTATTTTACTTACCGAACAAACTGCGAGGGTGAAATTTTGAAGGAATATTCTGTATTCACGTATGATCTAAATACAGTTCGAAGAATAAATTCCCTGCACAAAGACATAAAAAGTATTCAATTTTATTTCAGCCTCAAAAGCGAGTGCGTTTTGCGGGTTTCGTAATCCTCCTGTTCGAACATGCGCATTGCCAAATTTGCGCTTTCGATGGACGGCCGTTCATCTAAAAAACGACTGCCTCTCTAAAAAACGACCGACTTTCACGCAAACCTCTGAGTCTGCTAGAACGTACCCGGGGAACATCCCCGTAAAATTTGAGCTCTCGAGCTTTTTTGGCCCCCGCGCCAGCAGTTTCCCGCCAAAATTTTCACGTGCTCGTACACGAGGCTACGACTGTGTGAAGGTTGGAACTGCGTTCTTGGGGTAGCGCTTGGCCGGGAAACCACCGACAAAAACTTCATCGTCGAAACTTGCTTGATTGTCGATTTGAAATACCCGGAGAGACATACACACAGTCATACACACACACACACACACACGCACACACACACATACCATGAGTTGTCACTGTATGCTTTTTTGCGTTTGCATACATGCTTTTTTCATGATGACGAGATGATATGGCAACTCCTCAATGGATTTTCAGATTTTGACTTCTTGGGACACGAATAATTGTAATCATGGCTTGAGCTAAAACCCAGGCTGGAACGCACCAGGCTCTCCGATGCGATCATGCGTTTTTGCACTAAACTCGCAGATCGTTGTTAGCACGAATGATCCCTGTGCTGTAGCCTAACACTTGGACTAATATTGGTCGTGTTTTGATCCTTACCAGTATGCAGGAGGAAGAGCGTCAGTTGGGATGAAGGTGGTGCATTACAGTTGGGATGAAGGTGGTGCACATCCAGGTGCACGATTACCGGCTTTTTGCATGAAATCCGGTCGTTTTTTCGGTAAATGCTCGCTTTGTGAAAAAATGACAAATGTAAA